TACAGTATTCTAATAATGATAAATTGRAAATATTCTTTTTAAGTAGCATTTCCCGTTACGATCCAGTTTTCTAACTGTAGTTTTTTAAGAGTAAATCGCGAAAAAAGTGATTTTTTATTATATTGTAATGCTATTTTTTCGGAGCCGTATTTTGCCACSGCACGACTATTTGCCACTACACTAGACGTTTTTAAAATTCCACTTCATACCGGTAACTTTTCTTTCAACTCGACAGACAAAATGACGGCCATCCATTTCCTAAGAATCTAATTTTCAATGAAAACCTATCGATTTATTAGAAAATCAGCCAGAAAAAGGAAACACGACTCCAAGATAAAATATCGTAAATATGTTTAACGCTAAAACTTGTCCTAAACTCAGAAATATCCGAGTATATTTGAAGCGATACAAGCAAGTTACAAAACATTTCTAAATTTCCTCCCAATTACGTTGGAGTCTCCTTAACTTATCTTATTTATATACAATATTAYATATCGACTAAATTTGCTATTTCGTTTATATTTTTCATCGGATCTACAAAATGAAAAAAAAATTAACTAAGCTATTACTTCATAATTGCAAAGCCATCATCATTTTTCACGTTCAAATTTACTATCCATTACCGGCAGTCTTATCCGTTCTTTGTGGAACTACGTAAACAAAACGAAATATAGGGCTTATTATACTTTAACGAACGAAACGAAACCAAATAACTTTTTTCTTTACATTTACCTTTAAGTATAACATCTTCASTTTGTTTGACTCTATAATACGACTCGACAGGAATATTTACGTTCTTCATACGTAAATAAAAGGCACTTTCCCAGTCTTTRCACACATAGCTTCCCAACGAACTTTCCAGGCACATAAAACACTTTTTACAGCGGATTTYCTTCTGCAGTCCTTTTCTAAGTGCTAACTTTGCATGCCTTTTTGCTATATATCTTAAACAAAAACAATAACTTGATGAATCAAACTTTTTCCTTGGGCTATCGGCACTGCCATTTTAAATACCACAGGGACCCCAGCAATAAGCTCATGCAMAACAAACGGAATTGAACCCAACATAAACTTTTGGTATTATTTTTGTCACATTTCAATAAATCATCTTTCCGATTTCTCCAAGATCATTACCGGGAGTCCAATATCATGTTAAGGACTGTTGTGTTGCATGATAAATTGCTTGGACCCAAGGAAATTRTACCTTAATTAATCAATGTCAACTTATTCCTCTTGTTCAAGAGATTTAGCAAAAACAATCACAAAGTTTAAGCACTTAGAGTTGAAATACAGAAGAAAATCTATTATAGAAACACTGGGAAATAGCCTCTTATTTTAATAAAATAAAAGTAAATATTACTTTTAAAGGGAAACTAAAAGTATACTACACTTCAACATAAATTTTAAAAATATTTTATTTCATTCTGCAAAGGTACAATAAGCCCTATATTAAAGCCATTCATTTTATTATRCCGTTGTATTTTCCTATCGTTATATTGTTCTGTTGAATTGTGACAAGCAAATGAAACTAAATCMGTATGTATAATTTCAAACAGTCACATAGTACACTTACAAATATAAACGTTTAATCATTTATTGCCCCACATTTCCAAACATTTTGGTTACAGTCTAAAATTGTGTTATGCACAAAATTACATATCAATYAAATAAGCTATACTAATTTTCTTTGAATCTACAAATACAAAAGCTTAACTAAACACTTTTTTGGCATAGAAAATCAAGATTATTTACAATTTCTGATACCGTAACATATTCATAAAGTCAAAAATATTTTTCATGCTCTGATTCCCTATCATTCTAATTCAACAAAAGTTGAGTTGACAAGGTTGAGTTCAATATCAGTAGTTTATATTAGCCCATCAAAGGAAGATTAAGGACAACAAAACTCCCATTATATACATTATACCTACTACACTATCTACCCAAATGATTTTTTTAAGACTTATAAAGAGTGCCAGCATGGACACTAGAAATTAAAAACAATTACAACATAACATTTACATTATAACATTTACTGTTATATTTAGCCAAGGATGATTTTCTGATTTTCTATTATTCTACTTCAATAAAAGTTGAGTTCAATATAGAAGTGATGATTTGTTTATTTTAGTGGTTTACAACCCATCAAAGGGAGGWTGGAGGAAAACTTCCATATATACTATGTACCTAATACACTGTCTACCCAAATCACTTTTTCTCTCAGCCTTGAGGGTGCAGTATGGACACTAGAAATTAACAAAAACAAGTGTACAAAACAATAAGAATACCCCTCATAATATTACTCACAATTACTCTGTCAGAGAGTTTAGGTACCAATGACTACCTTTATATACAAACACCAATGCTTGTTGGAAATTTCAAAAATAACCTCTAAAAGGTACCAAGAATTCCTTACTTGAACTCATATCACTGCCAAGTTTCACACCTAATTCGTACCAAAAATGACTAAGTTTTACAGGAATTTTATTAACTTTTTATTTAAACACACTACCACAACGAAAATTAATCCCTAAAAGTTGCCACCAGACAAAGGCTCTGATAAGAATATGTATGGTCCCACCCTTCTATGTATGGGAGTCTACYCCCACCCCGCGCCGGGAGACTACCTACATATATAATAAAGATAATTTTTTTAAATATTTTTCCCAAAAAAATGATCTATCCAATATCACCTTGTTTGCATGCGATTTTTATATATGTATAATATCAATACAATATTGATTAAACATGAATAATAAAAAAATCCACAATCCACTTAATTGCAAGAATTCAAGATGAAAGTCTAAAACCAATCACTCAATTACAAATATCTTCACATAATAATTTCTATAAAATAGCCATATCTCAAAATAAATACACTTTTATATCCACGAGTTCTCCATTGGATGGCTATGTTTACTATTTATTTCTCTACAAAAATAGCATCCAAACATATATGTATATATATCGCTAAGTCAAAGTTTAAGGGATAATATAAATACTTCCTGTAAACAATGCCCTCAAACTTGTTATTCCAATCAGTTAATCATGATCGATGATTACAGAAAAACAAACACCATAAGTCCAAATGTTAATAGTCCAGCAACACCAACATTAAAGACATTTACAAGTCTTGATCCACTGTTGATCGATCTCTTTGTATTCATTTCATTTGCGTGAGAACTAACATCAATAGATTTCGTAGTATTGCTGCTGGTCATAGGAATTGCTGTAGTGGGAGGGACACCATTACAGTAGTCGGAAGAACACGTCGGCTTCAGATATGTGCAGTTCTGGACTTTCAAAATTCCAGTCTCATTAAATAGACTTGAACAATTTGACGAAGAGCCAGCGCAGGTTTTGGTGTACAATAACATTGAACGGATTCCAGCGTAAGATATGTTATAGCCCACTGTGGCGCACAAAGACGACGAAGGACAATCACCTACAATCTGGTTTTGTTCGCATTCAGCAAACGAAGGTTTAGCACAGATGTAACACTTAAGAGAACACACTGTTGAATCAAAGGGAGAAAAGGCAGTTACATCATTTGTAATTAGCTTAGTCGCTTTACAAAGGGGATTCTAAATGGAATCCTAATCCTAAAGGAAGCGATCATTAAGTAAGAGGAAGTTGAGAAGAACGGAAACATTTTTGCTGCTTAATTATGCATTGGTCATGCTAGTTAATCATATATTATTCTATCTTCAGCCTGGTTTTCACTTGTACGCGTGTCAGTCGCAAATTGTTCAAGCACGACTGATCTGATTGCAAGTGGAAACTACTCTTCCTATATTAAAGCACGAGCCAAGCTCTTCGTAAACACAGATTATACGGTTTTGACCCCCTTCGATTTCGATTCCGAGAATGAGGTTTTCACTTTATCAAAAGGTACTCTACTTCCGACTCCGATCTTTTTTATTTCTCTCTCGCTCCTTTTTTCCTTGTCTTCTTTTTCTAGCTAGGCATCTCCTCATTACGATAGCTTTAAAGTAGTCTTACTTTTCCCCGCGTAAAATAGTTAGTGAGTACCACCTCTAAAAGAGGAAAATTAGATCTTATTTGTTGTCACGTCGACTATTACACATTAACAAAGGTTAAGTAAGACACTCTCATAAGATAAAAAATAAAAGATAAGTGTTGTACGTGAACTAAATTATATTCCTCGCACTAGTGAGGTCATGTCACGAAATAAATCCGAGGCACGTCTTTCAACGCGGTTTTAACATAACACTTTTAGTAATAGGAGTAGAACAATTTAAGATTATGGACCATTAAATATTTGGGGGAAGGGTTACAGGAATTTATGATAAAAATTTTTTTCTGGTAACAATCCATGCTTTCATTTTGTGTGTTTGCTTAATTTTTCTTTAATGAAAGGACAGCCTGTGCGATATTTTTGTGTAGTTGAGGTGCTTGCTCTTGCTGGTATCTCCTACGCAGACGTTCTTAGGGTCTGTCACGGCAACGTTACGTGGATATCAAAAAAAGAAACTAACGACTGCTGCGGACGACACTAATAAATAGTGATGAAGCGCTAGTAGGCTTGTCTTCTTCCTATGGCTAGTGAGGAAATCATTCACGTTTAAATTTAAAGATGCACTCTATAGCAGCGAGATATTGACAAATGTCAAAGGAAATGCTGTCACAGGAACTGAATCATTATTCATCTTCAAGATCTATAGTAATGTTCCGATATTTGGATAGATGACAATAAACTCCATACAATGCTCTGAAGCAAACTCTAACTAGTATTAAAATGAATGGACTAACACTGTTTTTAAACATAAAGAAAATTCACTGGTATAAGCAATTATTTAAATGTTGGCGAGCAAAATTGTGTACAGCAAAACATGTTTCTCTATTGCAACACTGGTAGGGTTTTAACGGTTATGCTGATCGTTCAACGCACGGTTCTTTTTCCCAATAGTGAATAATTATTAAAACCTAGATATTACCTAACGTTGCCTTATGTAACAAGACTGATTGAGAATCGTGATCAACAACAACAACAAAGAAAATCATCATGCAAAGAAACACTCACAAGGCCGACACGGCTTATTTAAGACGAGTGTAAATAAGGTATAGATACTAAATATTACAGCATTTCTGTAATCCGTGCTATAGTAATAGATATAGTGTTTGGTAATCGTTAGTCTTACCTTCTGGAATGAATATTAGACAGCAGAGGAACATACACATTTTGATCACGGAAAGCATCTTGAATCCAAAGTATTAAACAAAATTGAGAATTAAATTTCCTTGGAAGTAATATACAGCCTTCAAGAACTCTCGACTTCTTGATGTAATGTCGAATGAAGAAATGACTTAGGACGAACCACAAAATAGTGCTATAAATTGTAATTGTAGCTGAATACTTTCATTGCGATTATTGACCTCACTTCCTGTGTGGGATGAGACGGCCTTGTCTTGTTTATCATCGCCCAAAAATAAACAGTCACACACGCCTATCCCGTGTACAGATACGTGCATTTTTTTAAACAAAGCTAATCAACATTATTAATGTAAGCCCGTTAACAGGACGAGGTCTTAATGCCTTACTTCGGGATCGGCTCTTCACTGTGAAAATTACTGTCCCAATGCAAAAGTCTTTACTTTTGAAGTGAGATCACGTTTCATTCTCTTGATAGACTGCGAGCATTCCTGTAGTTCCCTCATATTGTTTTGTGTTTGATTTGTTTAATTTTGCTGAAGGAGGATAACTGAGTCAGCTAGATGATATCAACGGGGGAGGGGAAGATTGACTAGTGTGCGCGCAGTAGTATTCGCTTGAGAATTATAAGATTCTTTGTTTGAGTTTTATCCATATTCATGTACCTTAAAGGCCGGTTTAGACGGTACGATTTTCGCCTACAACTATCGTATACAACACGCTCGCGTTTGTCGTAGGCGAGTTATAGGCTTGATTTACACGCTACGACTCGAGTTGTAGGATGGCGCGAGCGTGTTCTATACGATAGTTGTAGGCGAAAATCGTATCGTCTAAACCGGCCTTAACATGCCCAAGGAGAAAAGGAGGAAATCACTAGGGAGTATATGACGTGGTTTGACACGCCTGGGAAGTGAAGAAGAAACCAATGAATATATTAGTCATCACTGAAGGGCTTATGTGTTTTCCTGAAAATCAGTGAAACTGGAACTCTTTTGAACTACCATTAATTGCTCTTATGTCTATGTCTATGATATAAAATATCCCAGCGTAGTCAGACACCCAACTCAACTAATCGAACATGCTCGATCGCCGGTTTGTTCTATATGTTATTAAGAGAATGCCCATTCCACAGTGGAATTTTCTAAAAAAATTTCTTCAAACTCAAATACCAAGGGTAAACAATCGAAGAAAATACTCGAACGAAGAAAGTAGAATATACATTTTCCTAATATGTAGATAAACGACAACAAACTTTATAGAACGGGTTTCGTATATTACCTCGAAACAGCTGCTAGATAAAACTCCAATCACTAGCTATTCTCTCTCCTCGGAAAATCGAGATTGTCATGTTCGAAAATAATGCAATGTCTGCTTCTTTCTACAAAAAGGTCTGACGGATGATAACTGTCACAAGTTTAAAACATGTACTACCAGCAAATTCAGTCTAATCTATCCTTTTTGTGGACCATACAGTAGAAGAGGCCTACGGTTTCCCTTTATAATTTTCATTATAGCGTCGATTTTTCTGCATGACAGCAAAGCAAAAGTGAGTAGATCACGTGACTCCTCAGTGTGATAGCATGGTTGGTCGAGTTGAGCAAAGCATGCTAGGTAAACCGTTCTCTTTTTCGTCCGCCCAACCCTAGGCATGATGTGGATGGGTGTATCAGCAGACATTTTTTTCGGCTTACTCCATATTTCATATATATTCATGTGTATAGTAGGAAAATGTAGTACAAAGTTTATTTCTGAACTAGAAAACAATGTCACTTTACCAAAAAGAAAAGAAAAACATTTACGGAACCAAGAATGAACTCAAACAAGTGAAGAAATCCCGGCAGCTGTGAATTTATTATATTGGTCAGAATTAAACGCATGGCAAAGACTATGAAAAGTGAATATTATTCTACCTTTAGAGAACATTTTATTTACCATTTATTGAGAAGTTATAGAGCATAACTCTGATTCAATATGGAGGAAGAATTCATTTGAAGTTTGAGAAAACAAAGAAACATTAAAACTGACAGATTCTAAAAGTCGGCATATTATCATTAAATCAAACCTCCTAGAGTTTATATGCTTGAATTAACAATTCTCTCCCTTTCTATCGAAAAATATTGCTTAAATAAAAGACAAAATTCAGACTCGCGACCCAGGATTACTTCCTATCTACGCGACTAAAAAAATAGTAGATCGCATAAGGCTATAAAATAACTACATAGAGGGCGGATCATTTAACATTTAAAAGCGTTTCTATTTGCAACTTGGTCTTTCTTGGGATCAATTTCTGCTATTGCGTTTTCAAGTTATATCAACAAGAACAAGATTCCCAATCGAATCACTCCATCGTTGCTATGTGACGTCACGCGTGGAAACAAAACTCTCCCTTCTGCAATGAATGACAGAAAGGAACAAAAGATCATTTTTATTTCAGAGCAGGTACCATCAAGATAATGTTGATATGCAACCTTGCTCAATAGCACAAAGAAATTTGAAAAAAATGTTTTTCTTTAGTAGTTCTTAATAAAATATTTGTCTTCACTCTAACAAATGCCATATCTTATCTTATTAAAAACCTGTTCAGAATATGACGTAAATGTTAGTTCAACGGATGAAGCTAAGCATTAAAAATACTTCCTTGACAACCAAATGACAAAATTCAATCTATCTTTTTCTGGGACGAGAAGCCTCAGTTATCGTGAACAACAATCCACGAATAATTTGATCGCATCGCAGTCATTTGGTAACTTAAAAATCGACCAAAAATTCAAAAAGGTAATTCAAATCTTCTTTCAAATCCTTTTTTTTTCTTTTTGGATTAGTATAGACTAACGTAACATATTCATTGATAGTGAATGTATTGTTTTCGTTTAATTTATATCCTTATCTTTTCTGAATTAGTATTGAATTTAATTGGAAAACGTTTTCCTAAAAATCTATGCTTTTGATGAAAACTGGAGCGTTGTCCTTCGACTGAAAAGTATACACAAAAGTGTGTAAATTTGAACCTTTTTAGGTGAGSTTGGTTTTATTAGTTTTTGCATTTTTTAAAAATATCCTTTTTTCCAGCTTCTTATTCACACTTATTTTAATCATTATTATTGTTTTTCATAAAAATAAGTTGCATTGAATGCGGTAGCTATTAAAGTATCAAAACTTTTAATTAAGAACCCTCAAACCCTTTTTTGTATTTAGAAGAAGACGAAAATGGCTTTAGAATGTGACAATTACAGGGTAGATACATAGATGACTTCATTTAACGCTTAGAGCTACACAAAATAACTACGAAACTAATACATTTGTGATCCTCAATTGATAATGTTTAATTAATTTTAACAAAATAATGTTAAAGCTATATGGACTCTAAATAACACTAGTTACCTCTAGCCCTGTGGGCACCTCGATATATCTCGGTCACTTTTGAAAATGATCTCTCTAAGGTACGCAAAAAATTAATGTACCTGTTAAAGCCATGTTGATTTCAACCCCTAAAAGGCACTTACGACCATATACGATAAAACGTGATTGTGCTGATAGCGTTTTGTCTGTGACTAGACAACATCTTTCTTCGTTTTTTTCTTTTTTTTTTTTTTTTTTTTTTTTTTTTTTAAAATAAAAAATTTTTTTTAAATTTTTGTATTTTGGTTTTAATTTTTTTTTTTGTGTCTTTTTTTTTTTTTTTTTTTTTTTTTTTTTTTTTTTTTCCATGATATAAACTAAACAATTGATCCTAAAAGGTAGGGAGTCATGTTTCTAACTATTTCGAAACTCTGGCGCTCTGATTAGGTGGAAGCGCTTAAAAACCAAGGTAACACTAGAAGACAGTAAACATGTTCAGCCCAAATGTTTTGTTTATTTTTATAAAAGCAATATATTTTAAAAATGAATTCCGCTTGTGTCTATATAATGTGATATAAACACTTTGGAAGTTATAGAGCACTCGAGAATAAAAATTGAATACTAGGCTACACCTAGACCTTACACTGCAGTTTCCCGCAGTGTTTCAATCATACTACTTTATATATTACAAAGATGAGAATATGTGGACCGCATGGCACTAATGAAATACATGAAGATATAGAAATATAGACAAGTTATAGTGCTTGCGAACGAGGTTATTCCGGGCGAAAACCCTTGGAATTAAATTCGGATAAATTAATTTCCGACTTCGCTGTGAATCGAACCCACGACCTTCGGAATTGTACTACCGATGCTCTACCAGCTGAGCTAGAGGTCAGACAAAGCTCGATTGTCACTGTTAACATGGCTGCTAGTCCATCTACAAAGCTCGATT